TTAGTGCTAAAGTACCGCATATGAAGTAATAGATGAAATGATTTTCTATAAAATTTAACATTACCCAGTGTTCCGAACTCTTGAGATCTGTTCAGGTGACTTGAAACCAGACCAATATGCTGACAGCCAATCCCTTCTCTTTGGTACATAATCTTTGCTCGACAAAAATTCTTCATTAAGGATTTTATTAACCTTTTCACGTATCTGATTGATATCCTCCTGACTCACCTGTCCAGATTCTAAGAGTTTTTTCTGGTAGATCTCAAGAGATGAAGGATGATTCTTTATGACCTGTTCTCAATCAGCTCAGTAATCAGTAACATATAACCAAGAGTATACAAGGCAATAATGCAAATACATAATCGAGGTATAGGACCTAAGAAACCAAGCACGACGGAACAAGTTGGAAAGAAATAACAAGTCAGAGAACTAAAGTAACTTTCTGAAGCCATAGAAAGAATAATATTCTGCATTATACACGTCCAACAACATCATCAAAACTAGAAGTACTGACCTTGTACATCTTAGGTTGTGTGAAGGATGGCTCGTCGATTTCATTGTGTCCAAACCGACGATAACAAACCAAATCAACAACAACATCCGAATGAAAGGTCTGGCGCCACTCTGCAGCAAGCTCACAGACATGGACAACTGCTTCCATGTCATCACCATTTACATGGAGAATGGGAGCATCCAAAGCTTTAGCAACATCAGTGCAATATTGTGATGATCTTCCAGCCCTTGGATCGGTAGTAAAAGCAACTTGATTATTAACAACAATGTGGATTGTTCCTCCGGTGGTGTAGTTAGGAAGGGCACTAAGATGTAGAGTTTCATACACTACACCTTGTCCAGCAAAGCTACCATCACCGTGGATCAAAATACCCATATTCTTGATCCTTTCAACATCGTTGGAGTAATATTGCTTTGCTCTAGTTTTCCCAATAACAACTGGGTCAACAGCTTCCAAATGACTTGGATTTGCAACCAATGAAAGATGAATATGTTTTCCACCTCTAGTTGGTCGATCATAGGAAGTACCCAAGTGATATTTGACATCACCAGTTCCTGTGTAAAGTCCAACTTCATCCACAGGCTTTGTACCACCACTAAACTCACTGAAGATCTGCCTCAGAGGCTTCCGAACGACATTTCCCAAAACATTTAGTCTTCCTCGGTGAGGCATTCCAATCACTATGCTCTCAACTCCCAGGTCTGCAGCCCTATCAAACATCTCCTTCATCCCTGGAATTAAAGTCTCGCCACCTTCAAGCCCAAATCTTTTTGCTGTAGTCCACTTAGTGGCTAAGAAGTTCTCAAACTGCGTGCTCCATATAAGACGATCAAGAATCACCTCACGCCGCTGCCGATTGTACTGCATTGGTGTTGGGGTCTCAATATTGTCTCTCAACCAGTTACATTTGTTACGATCTGCAATATGCATATATTCATATCCAATACTTCCACAGTATGATTGCTCAAGTCGGGTCAATATCGATCTCAGAGTCTGCACTGGACGATTTTCTGACAAAAATCCAGCCATCCTCCACACACCAAGGAAAAACTCCCTATCAAGATCAGCATCTGTAAATCCATAAAGAGCAGGGTCAAGATCATCTGGGATTTCTCTTTCCTCCAAATTCAGGGGATCCAACTTGGCTTTCATGTGGCCATTAACCTGGTAAGCCCTGACAAGCAACAACAAACGCATGCTCTCTTGAATCGTCTGACCTGAAATACCAGGAGATGTTGCAGCCTGACCCACAAAATTTCTAAAGAAATTATCCCACGACTCATCAACACTGTCGGGGTCAGCCTCCCAAGCCCTTTGAAGCTCCTCCAAATACACACTGCTCGTCCCATCCAGAAAGCTATCAGTTAGCTTCGAAAGAGGCACAGGGCGAGGCACAGGTGCAGATTGAGCTTTAGGCTTAAAAAGCGTAGTATGAAAATATCGACTCTGAGACGAAACAATCCGTGATCTCGCAGCATACGATCCTCCCCCCTGTGCTAAAGTCCTCCTAATGGCAAGCTTTGCCAAGGCAGAACCAGCTCTAAACAACCCCATTCTCACCGATCAAAACTACCGAAACCAATCGGAGAACAAACAAAATAAATCGTTCCAAATCAATATTTATCAGACTTCACACACAATGACAAGCATCAGTACCTTCCACAAGACAATTCTATAAGGAATTAGATCAAGACAAAGAAAAACAAACAACAAAAACGCAATGATAATAAAAATAAAAAATAAAAAATAAAAAAAAAGTATAAGAATATAAATGGCGTCGTTATATAGAATTTAACATACCGAAATGACGAAGAAATTCGAAACCCTCCAATCCCCGTAAACCGATTCTGCAATGGCTTCATACAGAAAACCCCAGCTCCGCTTTTTATTCATTTTCTTTATTGTTATTATTATTTTTTTTTTAATTGTTAGGTTCGAACCAGTTATTTCCTCTCCTTCGGCATGCTGTTGTTGAATTTTCTACTGTTATTTTTTATTTATTATTATTTAAATTTTAGTCTTCTTCTATCTTACGTGGAGGTGGTCCCCACTCTTATCTTTCTGGCGGTGACCCTCTCCTAATTTGGACACAGATATTTTTCTTTTTTTTTTTTTTTTTTTTTTTTTAT